GCAATAGATCTATTGATGGAATGCGATTTATAAGAAATTAAAACAAGAAAAAATAATCTGTAAGTAATTTATAGTTTAATTACATGATATTACTGTTATATTTATTATATTAACATTTTAGTACAATTGATAATAGAAAATATGGAAGAAGCAGGTAAAGTGCAAGCAGAGATTTATAAACCAATCCTAAAACCGCCATCTGGTAAGTTATTAATATTGAAAATTAAAAATAGCATAAGACTGTTAGTAATAACAAATATGTTGTTCTAGGGCTTCTCATAGTAAAGAAATAGGTAGGATAGCATCAATGATAGTAATTAAGTTGAGTTTTTATTTTATAAAATAGATAAATGCACTTATACTTTTGTCTTAATAATAATAAATGAATAGTACCTATAATAATTGCTACATTTACACATTATATGTACAAATTATTTAATAAAAAAAATTAAATAAAAACAATTTTGTCATATTACTTTTATTTTTAAGAACTCAAAGTGATGGAACTTCAGAAAAAAAAGAAAAAATAAAGGAAAAATCTTGTCTAAACAAAGTTGAATTAACTGGAATTCAAAGGACCACAATACAGATGTTTTAGCAAGGTTTAGCTAGAGAGTTACTTAAAAAACAGCATGGAGAAGAGATGTACCGTATGATCGAAAAAAATTCGGCGTCAGCAATGGCTATGAAATAAAGATTGCTGTCATTTCATATGTAAATTTATATGGGAAATATCATCGAACATCATTTCCCAGCCAACTGGATGCCGTTTTTTTTTCGATCATTCGGTATAAGGTACATAGTGCAAGAAATTAAACTAAAATTGTAACACAAAAGAAATAAAAGCAAATGTGAATTGAATAACAGGTTTTATAAGGTTACTGTTATAATATTAATGAATTAAGATATGCGAATTAAAAATGAAATAAATAGTTTGATTTAAAAAGTTTTATTTATTTTTTACCTACTTTAGAGCTTTATTAAAAACTAGTTGAAGCCTGGCGCATCCGCCACGAGATCAGGAAAAAAAATACTTTTAATTTTTTTTTAATTAAATGAGAAACAAAAAATCCGGCGACGACAGTTTTTAGAAGAGCCATTTAGCTATCTTTTAGTAAAACAGCAACTTTCTAGAGCAAGTCGTTACTTCAGTAGAGACGACACAGATAAACATTAGCATTTTATATAATATGTAGTTATTAATATAGGTTTATAATTGAAAGGATTTAAATAAAATAATTTATAAATTACTGTTTTATCACTATTATCCTAACTTAATGCATTCTCTTCGTTCTGATGCTCTAATAGAACAGAGACTCTCTTTATTTTGTAACAGTCTTTATAAAGTCCGGCACTAGCAACAATAGTTTTTTGCACCATTTCAATGTGTTTATTGGTGTTTATACCCCATACGTTCTAAAATGATTATAGCCTACATACTCAGAATAGGTAAGTATTTTCCAAATAATCTAAAATCGAATTTATTGGAATAAACGAAATCTTCAATAATAACAATGTCTTGGTTATGTTAAGCAATTTTGTCAAATATCAAATAAAATCAATATCTCCTCATGCCTTTGCTCATGCGTCAAATTTTTATCCGACAAATAAAGCACTATTTGGCAGTTCGGGCGTCAGATAGGATATCTGGGAGATAAGTTTAATTTATCTAATAGATACTGTTATCTATAGGTGAAGATACGCGTTTTTCTGCTATCCGTCAAATAAAATATATCTGGTAGATTATAACACGCTATCCGTACCTAAAAACACCGGGGGTAAGAGAGGTATGTTATTATTTATTTATTTATTTATGGACAATTAACTAAACTAAATTTTCAATAATGGGTATGACCCCCTCTTGCTCTAACAACATTTCTCATACGATTTGGCATAGATTCGATCAAGTTTGATATTGTTTCTTGCGGGATGTTAAGTCACTCTTCCTCTACTGCAACAATGAGCTCTGGGATAGAAGTTGGGGCTCTTCGTCTAGTACGAATTCTTCGTTTTAGCTCATCCCATAAATGTTCTATCGGGTTTAAGTCTGGACTGCATGCTGGCCATTCCATAACCCGAAAACCGACTTCTGAAATGTAATCGTGTACGATTCTTGATGTGTGTGCCTTCGCATTGTCATGCAAAATCCAATGTAGTCGACGTAAGGTACCACATGAACTGCTAAAATCTCCTCAATATACCTAGCACCAGTTAAACCTCCTCTCCCGTGCCGACGGTTGCCCCAACGGATGAAAACTGGGTCGGTTCGCGCAGTCATAGAAATTGTACCCCAGATCATGCAGAAACCACCTCCATAACCAATCCGCTCCTCAATGCAGCATTCTGCGAATCGCTCACCTGGCCTCCGGTACACTTTTCTTCTTTGGTCGCTACCATAGAAGCATATCCTGATCTCATCTGAGAATAAAACTGGTTCCCATTGTTCTAGTGTCCAATTCAGATGTTCCAGTGCAAAACGCAGGCGTGCTTGACAATGAGTTGGGGTAAGTTTTGGACCAATTGCAGGTGTTTTGGGGGTCATGTTACTTTCCTTCAATCTTCGTCTTACTGTCCACTGAATAATAGTCACTCCTCGCGTTTCACGGAGCTGTTGTTGCACCTGAATAGCATTAAGATGCCGATTTCTTAATATTGTTGACACAATAAAGCGGTCATCACGATCCGTTGTATATCTCTTTCTACCAGTTCCAGGTCAACTACGAAAGGATCAAGTCTCCTCATATCGTTCACACACTCTTCGAACCGCTCCGCGTGTCATATGTAGTTGCCGAGCTACAGCTCTCTGTTTAAGTCCATTTTCGATTAAAGCGATTACTTGGGCGGCTTTTTCCGGTGATGTATGCATTAAATTGAAACACTAGTCAAACAATGAAACACAACTAATCAAAGAATAAAAGAACAATGTGAAAATTTCGATTACAAAGGTAGTAATTGCAATATTTGACAAGTTTGTTATTCTTATTATCACCACAACACAAATACCTTTTATTTGTTTACCCGTTGGTACGCATATAAACGATAAGTACCCTGAACTTTATGCTCATATATTTAACATAAACATGCTTTATATTAAATTGTCTTTGAAACAGCTCATATTTTTTACTTGCCATGATAAATAGATTCTAAAAGACACAGTTAAAACCAAAAGTTCACAGTGGGCCGATTTCTATGCACGTAAGTTTATATACAAAAGAGCGAATTTTTTTATTACTTTGTCAACTTAAGGTTGACACTGAATTTCATTTCTTCATCGCGATAGAGGCCAAATAAAGTTCCTTTAAGTGACGCTTTCAAGTGCTTGTTACACAGAAATAGGGTCGAGTTGTCATCTGCCAGTGCTCTTAAAATCTACATATTACGCACAATGTAAATACTGTACAGGACAGCAATATTAGTCTGAAAAAATATATCTTGCAAATTAAATATTTACTTGCACTAAAGTAAATGAATCATTATTTAGTTCTTAATAGTTGATATACCTAACCTTAAAAAATCGCTATTATTCTATTAGAATGATTACTTTTAGTAAAAAACCTTATAAAATAGATCTACATAATAATAATGTATGTTTCATCATTAAAATTATTTACCATCCTTAACAGAATTATTAACAAACATAATATTAAGTAATAGCTCTATAGTTGACATATACCGGGTGCGTCTCAAAAGTGGCTCACCCCTATAGCTTTTTTATTTTTTTAGTTAAAAAAACGAGATTTGGTATGTTAGTATATGACATAAATTAGGATTGATTGACGTATTCAATTGTTTTCGGTCACTTCCTGTTTCACCGGAAATGACTACAACTTTTGATTTTTAACTTACACCCCCGGTATTTTTTTACTTTATTCGATAGAAAATGTCACTCTGAATAGAATGACATATCATATGTCAACTTTTGACATTTTCCCGAAAATAGGTAATGATGAACCTGTTATTTTTAAGCTGTTATTTTAAGCTGTTTTTTATAAATAACTATAACAGTTTCAACTGTTATCTAAAAATAACAGTTTTGCCCATCACCAGGGTGTTTTGGGAGGTTTCCATTTTAAAAAAAAATAGATGTAGCATTCTAAATATAGCAATGATGGCCAGGCCATAAAAAATATCCTGTATAAGGATATTTTTATCCACTTTTTACCATTTTTATTTAAAACCATTTACCATTTTTTACCGTTTACCTAACCCAACCTAACATCGCATATTCGTTTAAATAAAAAAAGTGTACTATATGCAAAATTGTATGCTTAATCCAATTCCGTACAAAAAATGGGAGTTGGAATTTTAAAAAACTTGCAACTTCATCACTACTTTTTTCGGACATCCTGTATACAACAATTTAGGATATGCACTTTTATAAGCCATGCTTTATATTAAAATTTTTATCATATCTTTGCCAACAACGGGGATGTTGAACTGAAAAATGAATACACACACGTGTATTATTGGTTGCAGGCTGCAAAACGTTCATTATTTAGTTTATTTATTTAAACACCTTATATGTATGCAGTATAGAAAATTAACTGTATAAATCGTATTAAATACTCGGATAATGCATTTTTAAAAACAGCAGTTCCCAGCATCACCTTTTGCAAGCATTCTTTTTAGAATACTTCCATATTTTGCTTTAAAATAATTAATAAATAATATCGTGGGCACGTAGTAAGCACTTTGTCACCATCCACAACACAAAATGAACGTATTTAGACACTCCATATCTCTAAAAACTTTAAAGACATCTTTTTCACATTTAAAATTGACAAAATAATTAACTCAAAATTTATCAGCTGTTACTCATAAGTTTGGCATAGGCAACTAATATTACACACTATCATGACAAGGCAAGGACAAAGCTTTGACAAGGACTACAATGACGTCACAACTGTCAGCTGAAGCGCGGGAAGAGGCGAACGTACGTCTTATGAGGATGAGCAATCCAATTATCAAGATTCCACATCTAATATATATTTCTTTTTCAGCATCAATATTTCCATCTCCAGGATCGTACTGGAACAGTCCAAGCGCAAACCTCTACTCAAATATCGCAGCTACTACGCATTCCATCAGTCACCACGCAGCTCCCCATCTAGGAGCGCCACCTTTGGGCAGTTATCCCCACTACGCATGACCAGCTCCGAATACGGTTACGAGCGCAACCGATTGGAGCCGAAAACTAAGTATGTGATTGCTTACTTGGATCAAGTTTGCGTAAATTTAATATTTTTTGTCGCAGGCATATTTCGAAAAATATGAAGTTCGGGTAGGCATAGTTAAAGGTTCTTGTTAAAACTTAATAATTCTATGTTGTAAAAAAAACACAGAATGTTTTACTATAACAGTTAATAATTTTCTTAAATATCTATACAGAAAATTATTCCCTAAACAATTTTCAGAAAATACATGAAAATTATGACAGAAGAAACATCAATTATTCTTCCATATACAGAGGTAATAGTGGGAAAGAAATATTAATTTTATTAAGAGAACCTTTAGCTTTAAATGTAAGTAGAGGTAAAAGGAAGTAAATGTTTTTAACAAATAATCTGTAATTAAACTATTGAAACTGTCTAGTCATTCCCAAAGAAAAGATTATTATTTTGCTGTGTTGTTATAGTTGTAAAGTTTCTGTTAAATATATGTTGTATAGATAATACTCGAAGGATCATAGTATTTCTGTAAAATATAGATCAAATTTGATAGTCCTGGTGAGGAAAGAATATGTGTATCATAATTTTTACAATTATGTACATATAAATTTTAAATTTTTACTAATAGACGTAATCTATTTAGTAAATAATCAGGGTTCTTGATTACAAGAATGCAATAAGTACAGGTAACTTTAAATCTATATACAGGGTGGTTCGAACTGTATTCCGGAAACTTCGGCAACATATTCTGCGGAAAAAAATAAGTAAAAATGTTCGTATAAATGTATGTCCTAAAATGCTTAGTTTCGGAAATACAGGGTGAAGAAGTTTTATTTTTATTTCGATTTTTTTCCAATAATTTCTGAAGTAACGTCAATATTTGGATGAAAATTGCTGTCTGGGAGTTTTTTCACATGGGAAATTTGATTTTGATGTCAATATGTCTCCCATTTGTAGAGGGCGCCACCTAAATGTGTTTTAACTGTTTTGAAGACTAATTACTTTTCGTCCGTACCTGTATAAAAGTACTGAATAAAAAAATATACATTTCCGTGACTTTTTACGTAATAAATGTCTCTTGGTCGCTACAAGTAATAAATAATCGCTACAAGCAGGGTTCGGAAGTAGTTAATTGAGACATAATTTACCTAATTAACTACGTGTAGTTTTTCTTCAAAAACTACGTCTTTTCCCGTTCATTAACTACATGAAAACTACGTTAATAAACTACCTATTCATATTATGAATAATTTTGCTTTGTATGAGGAGTCTAAATAATATGGTGTGAATGGTTATATTTAAAGCCATATTTCTTCTGTTTTCTTATATATATATTATGTGTTTTCTAAAGCTTTAACATATTATAACCTCACCTCAAACCTTTAGCATTTGAAAGTTACATACATATGTTACATAAACTACACACTCTACATAAACTACATTAACTACATTACATGTAGTTTATGTAGTTTTAAAGTATCATGTAGTTTTCCTAACCCTGGCTACAAGTAACCGTTCTCAAGATATTTAGAATGGAAATAGTCAATACAGATAATTATTGACAAAAAAATAAACACGTGGGGTAGATAGTTATTTGACTGAAATAATAAATTCGGGAAATTTTTATTTTTTTAAATTAATCATAAATTTTTCTGCGAAGAAATGATGATAAAACAGTTTCTGTTGAAATTTTGGGTCAAAAACAGTTCAAATTTATGGTTTCAGTCTAATAACTATTTAATCAACATGTTTAATTTATGTCAATGATGACAGGTACTGGTAATTTCGATTCCAAATATCTCGAGAACCATTACTCGCAGCGATTTTTCCCAAAAGACCTTTTTTACGTAAAAAATGTCGTTAATGTATATTTTTTTACTCAGTAGTTTTATACAGGTACGGACTAAAAGTTATTACTCTTTAAATCAGTTAAAAAATATGTAGGTAGCGTCCTCTACAAGTAGGAGTCATATTGACATCAAAATCAAATTTCTCATGCCAAAAAAACTCCCAGACACCAAATTTCATCCAAATATTTACATAACTTAAGAAATTATTTGGAAAAAATCGAAATAAAAATGAAACTTCTACATCCTGTATCTCCGAAACCAAGCATTTTAGGACATACATTTATACGAACTTTTTTGTTTATTTTTATCTGCAGAATATGCCGCCGAAGTTCCCGGAATACAGTTCGGACAACCCTGTATAACTATTTTAGGATCACTAAAAACTGTGAATTTATATTTCAAAATTTATATTTTACGTTTGAAATTGTAAATTTTATGGTACACTTTGAAAATGATGTGGATATAATTGAATGTGCATATTATTACATTCTAAAACAGTAAAATACAAGAACGTCGTGCAATGTAAGACAAATTGTAAATAATGTTAGTAAATTTGAAATGTGTAAAGAGAACTAACACAACCGTCATGACGGACCCTGTGATATTTTACGTATTTTAAATATTACTTATTCGAATACTAAAATTTTTAGAAACGTACTCGTCATCCTGTCAAAACATACCGCATGATCGAAAATAAACGGCGTCAAAGACAGCTGGGCAATGATAATCGATGATGATTTTGGCGAGGTCAATCTCTAGACGTCATTTACTGAGAATTGGCATGAATCTAGTAAAAAATTAACACCAATTATAGAAAAATTAAAAAAAGATAGGACACTTCCAAACACACAAATGTCTTTCGTGAAAATTATTCTTTCTCGAAATTTAAACTACATCATTTAAAAATAATTTTTGCTCAATATAAAAATAAGGCCCACTGACAGTAAGCGCCATTAAAAAAATAAAGAAGAGTACGGGCTAGAGGTGGGAATTCTAGTTCCTTGGGAGGACCTAGTTCCTTAGTTCAAGTTCCTCCAGAGGAATAGTTCCTTGAACAAGGTCTTTAGTTCACAATAGTTCCCGACTAACATTGACATCCCCCTTGCTTGTTAATGCCTTTCGTTGTCAGTCGGAACTATTCACAGTATGATCTGTATAATTTTTATAATGTACGGAGATATAACGAGACGTGTAATTGTGTATGTTAAAAACATATTGGTAAGTTTCACAAAAGTATCTATCTAGTAAGCTATATCACAAATCAATTGGAGCAAATATTACAAAAATTTTACGAAAAGCTTTTTTTTTGTCTAAAAATTCAGAATATCTACTTCGTTTTATAAGATATTTCTTAATTTTAGGGACCTAAAGCGAAACATTCCCATAAAATATTAAAAAAAAACTAAAAATCAAAAACAGTATCCACGACAATTTTCTGTGGTAATTTCGCCGCGCCGGCTGTGGCAATAGACAAGACCGAATCCATCGTCGTGAAGATTCCCGTGAACTAGTCTTTTAATAGTTCCTCTATGTCCGGATCCGATAACATACGGCTGGCACTCCCCACGCCTGCCTAGCATCAATCGCGCTGGCTGATCCATACGTAAACTAGTCTTTTATTTAGTTTCTCTAGTTCCCAGTGCTGCCAGGTCTGGTGAAATTTCACCAGATCTGGTGATTTTCGACCCCACTTGGTGAAATGGTGAAAATTTTTTGAAAAAGCCTTTTTTCTGGTGATTTTTGGACACTGGCTTTTATTAAACAAAAAACACTATTATATTATGAGTTTACATTCAAAACGTAATAATGGTTATTGTAAAAAATAGAACAAATATACCTATTAAACTAAGTTTCAGGTAGAAAAATTAATTAACTTGAGAATTGACTTGAAACTTGACTTTTTTACATGGCTATACCGGGTGCGTCTCAAAAGTGGCTCACCTCTGTAACTTTTTTACTTTTTCAGTTAAAAAAACGAGATTTGGTATGTTAGTATACGACATAAATTAGGATTGATTGACGCATTCAATTGTTTTCGGTCACTTCCTGTTCACCGGAAATTACTACAACTTTTGATTTTAAATGGCACCCTCGGCATTTTTTTACTTCATTCGATAGAAAATAACACTCTGAATAGAATTACATATCATGTGTCAACTTTTTGACATTTTCACATATGGTTTATTTGAAATTATAACTTGCGGTTCGTAAAGAAAATTTTTGACTCGAAATACCAAGTGTGTGGTATAAAATTATTCGTAAAAAATGATTTTTCCAAATATGCTAATGAGCCATTCTAGTTCCATTTTAAAAATTGAGATATGATTAAATATACGATTTGAGCATTTTCAATGATCAAATCTATTTTTCCAAGGTCCTTAATTAAGAATTATTGTTTTTAACATAGCCATGGCATTCTAGATTGAGTTTTAAAATATGATTTTTTATTAAGCGAGAATGTCAAAACTTGACATATAATATGTCATCCTATTCAGAGTGTCATTTTCTATCGAATAAAGTAAAAATACCGAGGATGCCATTTAAAAACCAAAATTGTAGTCATTTCCGTGAAACAGGAAGTGACCAAAAACAATTGAATACGTTAATCCAATCTTAATTTTGTCATACACTAACATACCAAATCTCGTTTTTTTATCTGAAAAAATAAAAAAGTTATTACAGGGGTAAGCCATTTTGAGACCAGTATATTTGCATTTTGCATTTCAAAAATATTTTTTTTTAATAAAACGTGTTTTAAAACTATTTATTTGGTTCTTTTTTAAATATTGTCTGTAACTACTGTATTATATGCGAAAAAATTAAAATCTGGTGATTTTTTTCCAAATCTGGCAACTTTTAGAGCAGATATCTGGTGATTTTTAATATTATGACCTGGCAGCACTGCTAGTTCCTTTAGGTCCGGATCCGATAACATACGGCATACGGCTGGCACTCCCCACTCCTGCCTAGCATCGATCGCGCTGGCCCGATCCGTTCGTACTAGAGGTGTGTAGTTCGTGAACTAGTTCTAATGGACTATTCCGACCCCGGAATGAAAGGAACTAGTTCCTGGTTTCTCAAAGAACTAGTTCCTCAGGACCTATTCCGGGATCGAGACTGTGACCGATATAGAATGATATGCGATGGCGACGGATCGGCTAGCGCGCGATGGTAGGCAGGAGTGGGGAGTGCCAGCCGCACGTTATCGGATCCGGACCTAGAGGAACTAAACTCACAGAACATACTAAAGAAGAACGCTAACTCCCATGCATTTTTTAGTTTCAAAACGGTTTCAAATTTGTAAAGAAATCTGTAATCTGTATATTGAAGTGGCGCCATCTAGCCACCCAGGAAAGTAACAAAGGTGGCGGCAAATTTAGATAGATGCAATTTATTTTTAAGCAAGACGTATTGACTTGTTCGCCAGTTAGAGCCAATCATATTTCTACAAAATAATGTGTAGTCATCTGATTGGTCCCAAGTTGCCAAACAAGTCAAATGGTAAAAAACAAGGATTTACATATAAAGGTATAAACTACTGTAAAGTGTTAAATGGTTTGCTTATATCATTTTATGTGCATAAAAACCTACAATAAATAGTTTATTTTAATTTACAGAAAATTATACCATGAAACATTTTACAAACAAATAAAACAACAGATTAAAAAGTATAATATTTACTATAATACCAGATTTAAGAACACATAACAAATATCGTTGGATTACAAGAGAAAGTGACTAAGTCCATTACATTAAATTACAGTAAATATTACATTGTTAAAAAATAAAATTCATGAATATTTGGACTTGGTTAGGTTACCTCGCCTCACTTTCTCGGATTATTAAATAAAATTGTTAGATAAACCAAAGACCTT